GCTCATGTCGTTGCCGCTCATGTCCTTCACAGACGTTGACGTTGTGGCCGGCATGCTGTAATGGCGATGAACCTGGCGCTCCTGCGCTGCAGCCATAACGGCAGCAGTCCTAGGGTAATTATCAGGATGGTACAAGAAAGATTGGATGTTGGGTTCAAACAAAGGGTAAAGGGCGTCGGCGATGCCGTGCTGCTCAGCCAACTGCTTTCCACGGTTAAAAGCAATCCAAACACCCTTAAGATGCATGGCACCGACTTTGACAACGATTCGCTCTTTTTCGTTTTTCAAAATACCGTCGCGCTTGCCACGAGACATACCACAGACATTTAACAGCTTTGTACCATTCACCATGTTGTTATCATGGCGACGAGCAACGCAGACACCTTTGACGTCCACTTGAAAACACAAGGTACCTTCATCTTCCCAAAGAGTTGTAGTAACCCGATGTCGACCTCCCATAGGAACAGGAGAACTGTACTGGGGCATCATAGCACCAGAAGCAATACTGGGCGTTGCCGGCGTATTTCCACCGGTCGCACCTGTCATGGCCATGGGGATAGCTGCTTGTGCATGATGCGAAGGAATATGCCCAGAAGAATGAGGCGCATATCCACCGTGCGAAACCATGCCACCCATCAAGGGAGTGTGATAAGCTGGTGTGGCAGCCGTTCCCGGGTAGTGAGGATGACCATAGTGTGAAATATGCCCAATGTAATTGGGATAAGGCGCATATGCGTGGCCTGAGTAGGAAGCAGCATACATGGGATGCTGAGCTTGTCCATACGCTGCATACGGGGACGCCATAGGTGACAGTTGAGCACCAGGGAAAGATCCAGCCATATGGTGCGGTGCTTGCACACTGTCTTGGTAAAGCCCAGCACTAGGGGCTTGAGCAACATGTACATCAGAGCCCCCTAGAGCAGATGCAGAATGGCTATGCATCGGAGGCGCACTGCCATGACTAGTAGGAGCCTGGCCAGCATGCACGGAGCTTGCATTGTACTGGGAAGCTGCCGCGCCCGAAACAGATGGACTGGCGGTTGACATTGTGAATTGGTGACTCTACGCCCTCTTGATCAGGGCAAATAAGCTCGCAGGAGGATGGAACCTTCCGTTATGCACCTGATGTGGGGGAAAGAGATCTTGCTTTCCAAGGTACGCTTACCCAACACGGTTTCCTCTGGAGTTGAGGAAATGTATGTAGAGAGGATGCGATGCGGGTACCGGTGCAGGCATACACTTGCACCTGCATTTGCCAGCCCCCGGCTAAGGCCTGCAAGCTCAACAAATCAAATTGCAATATGGTCTTAATCTGCCAGCAATGCATCCATTCCACGTGACAAGGCAGCCAGATAAAATTTCTTTTGATCATGTAATCTAATGTAAGCGTCAGGGCCCATGCGGATGCTCGGTGCACAGTTAGAGAGGCCGCAGGTTGTATCTCATCGAGCCCTGATAATTATGGGGGACGAATTGCATCAGGTCGCCGCGAGTGAGCCACCGCCTGTTGTAAAAGAGTTACAAGAGAGGTCTATGGAAGAAAAACAGCCCTTGGAAGCGAGCACAAATTCCAAAGAGTTGGGGCTAGAGGAACAAGAATCAAATCTTATCACCACAGAATCAGCTCATGTGGAAGGACAAAAAGATGCAGAACAATCTGGAGATCATCCCAAAGATGCCTCACAAGCAGATGGAGAGACCCCTATGACTTTGAAGGAAGGAGAGGATACTGCCCTAGAAAATGGAGAAAAAGCAAAGGCAGATGCACAACAAGCTCAACAGCAAGAATTGGACCGTCTTCTATGGCTGTACGTATCTTGTCCAGCTTACATCACAGATCACTCCCAGGGAATGATCAAGCAATGTATTATTCAGACTCGGAGGCAGAAGATGATCCAACGCTTTTGTCGACTTCTGGACCTTTGCAATACTCAAATAGAGGGCGCAAGCTTCATGCTAAAGAAGGTGTACGATGGGCGCATCGCGGAAAGTTGGGGACATGGACGGAACCCAGAAAAGAAGCTGAGGTATGTGAAGAAGGGTATTAATGACGCAGTTTCATGGGCGAGAGCAACGGAAATTGGACGCATTCCAGCACGCGAATGTGGACGCCCTACTTGAAACTGAGTCGTTGCTTCCTGGTGGTATGGGGAACATTTGGAGAGAGAAAATGGCTTCGAAGCGCTCATCTGCGCCGGCGAATGGTGCGCGCAAACAGATTCGAACCCGTGCGTGGAATCCTAGAAACCAGGATGAACTCATTGGTTCCAACCTAGGGACGAGAGAACTTTCGTCCCTGAACGGTTCATCAATGGCACTTCCGATGCTGGTTCCAGTTTTGAGTGCGCGCGAGTTACTGCAAAGCAAGATTCTCAAGCAAACGTTTAGGAATCCTCATCTGACTGCACTGAACCGAACAGCCCTGAATTTGTTAGAAAGTGAACACACGATGAACTGTGCATTGGGACGCTGCTTCAGCGCGATGGAGCGCATCTTTGATGCACCTAAAGAAGAGCACCGGATGGAGAACGAGAGGGAAATTGACCCACCTATGGATATTGTACCACCGCTTGTTCACATCAATGACTTGTTCATCACCAAAGAAGGCCTTCATATCCCGAATGGATCTTCTCCGGATTCTAAGAACACAAATTTTGTATCTGCAGAGGAGCAACGCGATATTTTGCACTCAAGTCTTGAATCATTGAACGAATTATACGCGGACAGTCGTGAATATATGGAACAACTGGAAGAAGTGAGACTATTACTTGCAGATGTCCGACGTAATAGAACCCATATGTGGGATATAATACGTCGATGGGCCTTGCGGCGTGAGAATCAAGACTACCAAGCAAGTCAGCAATACCATCGGAATCGACCGGAAATGCAAAAGAGTGTCAAACCCCACAATGAGTCAGCGCACTCCGAAGGCATCGCCAATAGCGGTGAGACACGATCTAATTCCAGTCGTCGCGATTGGAATAGCCCTTCAAGTCGAAGCCGAGGCAAAAAGAGATCTCGGTAGTTGGACAAAAGTGTATGGTAGTGAACGTGTGCTGGAGAGGCGTCATGTAAGTGACAAAAAGAGCTTCCGCGCCGGGAATTGAACCCGGGTCTGGGCCGTGGCTGTTACAATGACAAGGCCCCGTCATAGCCACTAAACTACGCAGAAATTCAGTTGTCATGCGGCCTTAGACATTGCTTATTTAAATATAAAGATTGGTCAACAAAAGGGTGCAAAAAAGCTTCCGCGCCGGGAATTGAACCCGGGTCTGGGCCGTGGCTGTCACAATGACAAGGCCCCGTCATAGCCACTAAACTACGCAGAAATGCTTTGCGTAAATCCGAACAATAGACATACAAATTGCTCTCTCGTAATAAATCCGTATATATGCACGGTTTCACATGTGCACCGGTTAACTCAACCCCATCATGTCATCTACCGTTAGTCCGAATGTTATCAAGGCAGTTGAAAGTGCCCATTCTGTGAGAGTCAAACACCTTCAATACATTATCAAGGCGCTTATATTTCATGCGTACTTTATTCCAACTACTCTGCTTTGTTTGCCGTTTGTGATCTTGTGGTGTCTGCGAAGTCACGCCTATTGCAGGCATCCGCAGTGGACCGTCATGGAAGCAATTGGCGTTATCTTGACGAAGCGCACGCTCAAGCTGCTGTCTGTCTTTAAGATGCAACCCATTCCTCCTCGTGAGAATGGTTGGAGAGAGGCCAACAATTGGGTGGGATCGTTCCTTTCCATGCTCAACATGTCTGGTCCCGGTGGAATTGTGGCGTTGCCACCAGCTGAAACTTCTAAGGCTAGCGAGTATGTCAAGAAAGGCCGGGTGGATAGGGACTGGTTTAACCCTCCTCCCCTTGAATGGTTCAGCGGCATTCTGAGTATCAAGACAGGCAACAACTCTATGGCTTATGGCCCCAGTTCGTACCAAGGACCGGCACTCGTTGACCCTTCTTGGGCTAAAACAAGAATTCGAGGTTTTTGGTTCATGCATGACAAGAAACTGCAAGCACCTCGACCAGGTCCATTTGGCTCGCAACAGCGGCGGGTCTTGCTATACTTCCGTATGTATGGCTATTGAGAACACTAACAATAATAGATGGTGGTGCAGGAGTGTCTCTATCAGCTGGAGACGCATTTGTTGGTCAGACTCTGTGCGGAAAACTTTCCAGCAGCTTGAAGATGGATATTTTCTCCGTGGACTACAATTTGGCTCCCCATGGACCATTCCCTGTGGCCGTTGCCCAAGCCCTTGCTGGTTACTTGCATCTGATTAACGAGTACGGCTACCAACCATCTCAGATCTTTATCGGCGGCGACAGCTATGGATCATGGGTTACAACGCAGCTTGAGCAGTATCTGCGTTGTGATGCCAAACATCTGACTGAAAAGATGAATGGTAAGGCTGATACCGTCTCTGGTGTTCCTGGTTTGATTCTGCTTTCGGTGTGTATTCATTTTCTGACAATGTTCAGCCCTGGTTGTACCTTTTCGATACCAAAAAGCCTTCAAGGTCGAAAGGAGGTGTTGGAAGGAAGTACGACATTCTTGCGCCGAACTTTGCTGATTGGGGATTAGACTCATTGAAGGTCGGTCCGAAGTATTTCGATCGTTGCCCTGCCCCTCTGGAGCATCCGTGGATCAGTCCTGGAATGATGCCGAAGGAGAGCAAGAAAGATTTACCTCCTATCTTCATGTCATTGGGCGGTCTTGGTACGTCTAGAATATTAACCCGCGCCAGAAATGCTATTTGACGAAGATTATGGGTTTGTCGAACAGGCAAAAGAAGCCGGTGTGTCGGTGGATCTCCACGTTGATGTGCGTATATGGAATGATGGCAAGAGCTAACACACTGCAGCCCTATGCGACCCACGATTTTGGAACAATGTTCACCTTTTCGGAACGTTTTGATCAGGTTTGCGATGCGGCTCGGACGTGGCTTGCCAAGACTAGCACTAAGTAGAATGGGAAGCAAAAAGGAGGGCCGCCTGGGGCTCGAACCCAGGACCTCATCTTTGAATCCCTATAGTAGGAGAGACGCATTCTACCAACTGAACTAACGGCCCATAACTCCCAGTTTGGGGGGATTTGGCTATCTAAAAATGAGTGGAAGAGCGGTAGCTCAAATTATGCATGGAGCTGCAGTCTGATGTCACAATATCCATAAAGTTTTGATCGTGATTACGAGCTCTTACTTTCACTACCACCCCGTCGACTGGGTGTGGCTGCTCATGGATCAAACAACACTGAGGAGAGAGAAGAAATCATTACTACTATCTCCCACTTCATCTCGGAGTAGCGGCAGTTTTGAGAAAAAGGTGAGCATTAGCCACTCCGCTCCGCCATCACCGCGCCATCATACCTTCACAAACTCTCCGTCCCTAGGAAAAGGTATTTTATTACGACCAGCAGAATATGGACCTAGTTCTAGACGCAGTTCTACGGAAGAATCAAGGAAGAGTTTGCAATTTGACGTGCCCGTGGACGTCTCTCGTTTCGTTACATCAAGCAGGACTTCATACCGACCCGGTGATTGGGGTTTGCTGAGTATTGACCGCCATGGGCCTCGTCAAAAATACATCATAACCTTATTTTATTGGCCGCTGGTAACACTGTATACGTGGCCATTAGATCCAAAGTCACCGTTTAGCCAAGGACATTGTTTTATCACTGCAACAGAACCATCGAACCCATCCTCTCCAAACGCGGATGTGATAAAGATGAGTGTGAGCGTGTTGGAAGATACGGTGCGAGCATGGATGCGGCTAGGACGACCTCATCAGGTCAATGAGTCTGGTGCCCAGGAAGTGCAATATGCAGATATTGTGCGAGTGTGCGAAAAGCTGAACTTGAAGCCGGCCTCTGAGGAACAGCGCAATGACTGGCTCCAGCTCCAGTCCATACCGGACCTTCCGAGCTCGCTTCCTTCATCTACGGCCTCGACACCCGGTGCCAGCCCAGGCTTCCAGAATGACAACGTGCACTGAACATCCCTACCTTGGGACTCGTGCCAATAGCCATCGTCTCCTTTGTACAATCCAAGTTCATGCTCAATATCCAAGCTTATGAAGAGATAGCTATAGAACGTAAGGGGAGGGGGCTATCATTTGGACCACAGACGACATCACATTATAGTGTCTCACAGAAAGAGCATAGACCTTTCTTGTCATCACCGTAGGCAGTGGCTTGAATCACAACTGGCACAATGATCAAAGCAAGGAAGATGGCCCACGCCAAAAGGAAGACGGCCGTGTATCGGAGTACGATAGAACGACGCTGTGCGCGCTGACGCAAAGAATAGATCGGAGCATGGATCTGCTTCGAAGGGCGCAGCCAGAACAGGGCCGTAGAATGCAAGCGATCCACGAACGGAATCAGCAACGGGATAGAGAGGGCGAACATGAGCAGATGTGTGGTAATAAAGTCGGCTGTGAAGATGCTCATTTCCATAATCTTCACAATGTACTCACGAGCCGGCTGGCTAAAGGCATGGCCGCCGAGACCACGTCCGTACCAGCGACCCGTCCACCATGCGCGGTTTGTCTCATCGTGCTTGAACTCACGCGAGATGGCCACGGCAGTGATTACCTTGAAGATTGCCCGTTGGATCGCAATCATCGCGATGAGACCGAGAACCATGTTGGCAGTGTTCCAGTACTCGATGTACCACAGGAATTCAAACACAGCCAGCATGCCAGCCACCGCAAGGGTATGAGCAATGCCTGCCATGACACTGCCAAACTTGGCGCAGCACGAATGCAATGCAGGACCAAAGAAGAGTGAGATGAGGAAGATGATCAAAAGCACAACCGCGTTCCATGCAATAGGAACCAGCGAGATAATTGCCAGGCGGGCAATACCGCCCTGGAACCTACCATCCTCGAACGAAAGGCCAGGGGCGGGGAAACTCTTCACATACGAGTAGGCCACCGCGAAGATGACTGCCATCGCAATAGGGCCAAGAATCTCGTGGAATATCATGGTCTTCCAACCGGCACGAGGCAGGTCAGCGACCAGCTTCTCGCTAGGGTGGCCGAGGCGCTTCTTCTTGTAACCAGTAATGCGGGTACGGCTGAGTCGGCAGTAGCCAATCCAAGAGTTGGCATGGCTGCGGCTGTTGCCACGACCCATCCAACGCAAAAACTCACGGTAGTCGATGATAAAGTCGGAGAACGAGAATTGATGCGGGTTGAACAGGAAAGGCGCTACGCAAAGAGCAACCAAGCTTACCCAGAAGTAGATCAGATGGGGCATCCACACCGTCAATGTAGCATAAAACAGCATTAACAGGTAGCGGAAGCCCGAATAAATGGATGGCCCGGCAAAGCGTGAGTACAGCAGGGAAAAGCTCAAGCGGGTTGTGGCAAAGCCACGGCCAGTCGCAATGTAGCGCGCACCACCGAATGTCAGGTTGGTGATAATCGAGTTCGAATAGATCTGGGTCGTGAAGATTTCGAACAAAGGACTGAGCGAAACAAATTGCTTCATCAGACGGATCAATGCCGAAATAGCACCGCGCTCAGAGAGTTCTTGGAGGAACAGAGGCAAGAACGCAATCATGAACACGAGCAGAATACTGATGACCGTGCGCTGGACCCAGTATCGCACAGGGTTCAAGTAGTAGCACGTACCCGGACCCAGCACGTACGTAATACCATTCGTGTCAGGGCAGGGCTCCAGCGTCGAGTACAACGAGCCAATGAACATGAGCGAGAACATGAACAGCTGCACAGCGAGAATGACCATGATGTTGTTGATGTGGAAACCGGGGTGTCCGTAGTAGAACGTCAGGAAGCGATCCACCGGGAGCTGCGTGCCCAGATAGTAGTACTCACGCGAGAGAATTTGCTCACCCATACCATTGCCCAGCTTGGTGATGAAGTTGAGAATGGTACCGAAACCAAGGTCACGACCCTTACCACACTGGTAGTACTCGCAGTGCTTGATGCGGCCGCCTCGCTGGAAGACCATCATACCCGCATAGATATCCTCGTTCAAGTGCAGTCCCTTTTGAGCCTTTGACACACCACCACGCGTAGTCATGTATACCGAGTTGAGAAAGTCGGGATGACCATAGTGGAATTTACCGCCAATTTGCGCCATACCACGAGCAGCCAGGGTACCGAAGGTCTGTTCCTTACCGGCAGCGACATCACCCAGAATACCAATGTTCTCCGAGAAAATGTACTCCTTCGAACCAACAATGGCGACAGGGGACGGGTCAAACACATGGTACGTAGGGCCGTAGGGGTTCTCAGAAGGCATATCGATCGTCTCAAACTCAGAGAGCACGTTGCGAATCTTTAGACACTCCTCCAGATAGTTGTCCTGGTTGGCATCAATCAGCTGCAAGAACTCTCCACGGTGGAAAATGATAGCGTGGTTCTGGTTGTCAGACTTTCCGTCACCCAGAATCGGGTTGCCCGGTAGCTCGATGCGGAACTTGGGACGACGACGGCCGTTCGGGAGCATTTCCGAGTGTCCATCCACCAGGGCAGAGAACCATCGCGACTCGCCGCCCTCTTTCGTGGGTGGCTCTTCGTCCAGGTAAGCAATCAGCAAATCGGGATAAGCACGGAGCAAGAACTCGGTGTTTTCGATCTCTTCCTTGTTAAAGCGCGAGTAACGCTGCATAGAGATCACAAACTTGAACTTGCGACGACTCATGCGCTCCAGTTCGCGCTCCAAACGTTCCGTGTTGCCGCCAAACAGCTGCACAATCTCCGGGTTCTCCACACGGTAAAGTAGCTTAATTGCCTTGTTGTAGTTCATGAAACCACTCACAGTACGATACAGGGTCTGTGCACGCAGCGAGGACCAAATACGCGTACGCAAAGTGTACTCCGGCGCGGCTGACTTGAAACCAATGCAGTAAAAGGGCAGGTCATCTGTACGACCACCCTTGCCCGGGGCCTTTTCGTCTTCAAATCCAAAGGGAGCACCGCCCGCAAAGTTGCCCGACTCTTCAGCAAGAATCTTGGTGTCCTTCACAAAGTTATCCCACTCGACGGGGTGCAGCTGCTTCAGGTACTCGAGTAGAGTGACACGCGTATTCTGGTCTTCCTCGCGAATAATCTCACGAAGAGACAGCAGGATCTTCTCACCGTAGTGGGGCGTCAGAACGGAGAACGTTGGCATGGCATCGACGGGGAGAGGCTCCGGAAGCTGCGTCGTAAGCGACTGCGCAAAGAAGCTGATACGACGCTCAGCCTCCGAACCCTTAGGGTAGAACTCGGGCTTCGAACCCGGGTCCATCTGGTTCAGGAAGAACGGCGGGGCACGCAGAGTACGCTTGTACGGCGAGTCTTCAGCCGGAGCCTGGTGGTACAGCAGGCGCTGGACATGGTCAATCGACAGCAGATGTTCACGGTACATCGAAATGATTACAGCATTCCAGACCTGAGAGACAAGCACCTTGGGCTTGTACTTGATTTCCATGTCCGCCGTAGCAAGCAGCTTGGAGTAAATCCGCTTAGGAAGGCGCTGGAAAATGTCCGACCACGGCGTCCACACAGAGAGACCCAAGTAAAAGGCCCAGCCAAGACTGAACACGGTGCTCCACACGACGTACCAAAGGAAGGTGTCGAGGAAGAACAGGCACAAGTCCATGACCATCATGGCGGCAAGAGCGAAGTTGGGCTGCAGCGAGCAAAGAACAGTGCCAAAGTACTGGTCGTGACACTGCTGTACACGCATCGTCACAAGCACACCGAAAGGATCCTTGAACGAGAGTGTCAGGAAGTAGTAACTCTCGGTAAGCTTGCATCCGAACACCAGTATCCAGAGCAGGAACGAAAAGAGCCGGCGAGAGAATGGCATGGGCGCGAACGAAGCCGTGAAGGTCTGGTTGGCAAGATATTTGCGCTTGTTCAGAGCGACACGATCACCGAATAGACGGCCAAGAGGCATGATGGAGAACAGAGCCGTGAGAATTGTGGACACAACCATCTGCACGATCGAGATCACGTAGCCCACATGCCCGTCTTTGTTGAAACCGAAAATGTACACGGAAGGGGCAATCATGAGGCCCATGCAGATACCCAAAAATATCAAACGACCGATCAAA